GGTGCTGTCTGTCCCTAGCTGTCTGGTACCCGGCTCTGGGATGAGTAGGGCAGGTGGATGGCGGCCTGGAGTGTGGAGCTCAACAAAAGAGGTGTTTGAGGTGTGGGCTCCATCTTGGTTGGTTTGCATTTGAAAAGTGAACTCTCACTTTGAGTTGCTCACCGTCTCTAGGGGTTGGCTAAACCTTGGGAGGGGCTGTCCCTCCAGGCTTTGCAAATCCTCAGATGTCAAAGCATAAGAATAAAGAAAATGAAAGACATGGTTAACACAGATATGTAACCAACCTATAAATATTTACTGAATGCCTCCCATGCCCAAACACTAAACTGTGTGCATGAGCTAGTATGAAATAATAATAACAACAGAACTAGCATAGTCTTCTGTAGCCCTCACCATGTGCCAACAGTCCACACGCTTTACAAGAATGAACCCATTTAATGCCTGTAACAACCCTACGGGGAAGTACGTTTACCATCTCAATTTTAGAGATGAGGCAACTGAGGCTCAGAGAGGTTGAGCAACTTGCTAACGTCACATAACGAGGAAGAATTGAAGCAGGGATTTGAACCCAGGAGGTTGGAGTCTGTGTTTTAACTACTACCTAATATTATATATGATATAGTTCCCGCTGTCCAGGTTGAAGAGCTACTTCAAAAGGCAAAATATAAATATTCGAAGAGATAAGTATAAGTAAAGAGCAGGGCATATTTAATCTCAAAAGAAGGTATGGGATATATGCATATGTATAGCTGATTCACTTTGTTATAAAGCAGAAACTAACACACCATTGTAAAGCAATTATACTCCAATAAAGATGTTAAAAAAAAAAAAAAGAATGGAATGGTCCAGGTTCTCTCAAAGGGGAGGTGTGTGAGACCACCCGCGGAGAGGGCAGGAAGAAAAGACTGGAACTTGTATTTATGTTTCTATTGTTAGCTCATCGAATAGCCTGTCTTCTCAGTACAAGCTCCTTTCCTCATCATGAGAAAAAAAAACGAATGATAGTATAATCACATCTGATGAGACACAGTCAAAAACCATGAAATTACCAAGTTCACTATATGAAATATGGATTGACATCTATGTCATTACCTAGTGTCTCAAGAGATGATAGACACTGAGGAAGAGTTTGTCACTGACATCTGTTGTTAATGGCCGTAGACGGTGCAGACTCTGTGGTGGTGATGGAAGCAATGAATAATGGGAGTGAGTATGGGTGATGCCTCCTATACTGCTGGGTACGGGGGACACAGCAGTGAACCCCTCTGTCAGGCGTCCCTGATCTTGTGGAGCTTACAGTCTGGTCGGGGAGAACAGGGGATCAACAAGATGAACCAAGGAAAGATAAAGTGTGTTAGGTGGTGATACATGCTGAGGAGAAACATGGATCAGAGAAACGACGGGAAGAATGGGGGAGAGAGTTGTAACTTTTTAGATAACATGGCCGAGTGAGGTCTCGGTGAGAAGGGACAGAGTAATTACCTGGTGGAACGAAGGGAATGAACCATGTGGCTGTCTCTGGGCAAGACACCCCTACCCACCACGCAAAGAGCAAGTACTAACACCCTAATGTGGGAACGTGTTCTGGAAGGTTGAAGAAGATGAGGTCGGTGCGCCTGGAGCCCAGTGAATAGCTGGCGGATGGAGACCAAGGGGTGGGGCGAGGGTGTGGCCAGGTCCTTGCAGGCACGTGAAAGGACTTGGGCTTTTTTCCTGGGAGTGGAATGGGAAGACACTGGTGGGCGTGAGCAAAGAAGCGATGTGATCTGGCTCGTGTTGCTAGAGGATCAGTAAGGTTGCTGTGTTGAAAATCCTTTGGAGGGAAGGAGGACAGAGACCAGCTGTAAGGCCTCGAGCAATTTTCCAGGTGAGCCATGATGGTGGCTTGGACCAGGGTGGAGGTACGGAGCGGCATATTGGACCTGATGATGGTAGAACCAACAGGATTTACCAATATAGGTTCGAGCTGTGAGACAGAGACTAATGGTACATACACAGTATTTTACTGAAAAGTACACTGGGGGTACATGCTTCAAACCTCTTACTGGTAGGGATGTGTGAGAAAAATGGTGGAGGCCACTGGGAGAGACCATGTATTGTCTACAGGGATTTTGAGGAGAGAGATCAGTCAGGGGAGGATGCTTCAGTGCTGGACGTGGTTGGGCCTTGAAGAATGGGTGGGATTCAGGGGGTTAGAAAGGCCTGGGGCGCACCCTGGGAGCCACAAAGGAAGGGAGCTGACTCTGCCCAGGCCTGTTCTGAATCAGTCTGCGTGGAGCCCGAGCACAGGCAGGAGGTTTTAGGATTGAAATGGTAGCAGGCCAACTCGTCCCGCCCTTGAACTACAAGTAGAGTCAGGCTCCGGACGCGCAGGCTCAGCGGCCATGGCTCACGGGCCCAGCCGCTCCGCGGCATGTGGGATCTTCCCGGACCGGGGCACGAACCCGCATCCCCGGCATCGGCAGGCGGACTCAACCACTGCGCCACCAGGGAAGCCCAGATTTTTTTTTTTTAACATCTTTCGTGGAGTATAATATAATTGCTTTACAATGGTGTGTTAGTTTCTGCTGTATCACAAAGTGAATCAGCTATACATATACATATGTTCCCATATCTCCTCCCTCTTGCGTCTCCCTCCCTCCCACCCTCCCTATCCCACCCCTCTAGGTGGTCACAAAGCACCGAGCTGATCTCCCTGTGCTATGCGGCTGCTTCCCTCTAGCCATCCGTTTTACATTTGCTAGTGTATACATGTCCATGCCACTCTCTCACTTCGTCCCAGCTTACCCTTCCCCCTCCCCATGTCCTCAAGTCCTGATTGGGAATTTTTGACTGAGGGAGTTAGTGGTTTGCTTAAACAATTTGCTCCTCTAAAAAGCTCTGGATAAGTGCCATTAGTTAATGAATTAACAAATGTTAACTCAGTGGCTAGAGTGATTTATTTACTAAATGGGACTATAGTTGTAAGTTATATATACATATATGTATGATATATATTTATAAATATATAAACATATATTTATGTATTCAGCATAGTTATTGTACTATATTATATAGTATAACCTGTAGTATAGTTATATAGATGTACATATGTAGATGTACATATATGTATTTCTGTTGAGAGTGATTCCATTAGACCTAACATTGTTTGCTATATAATAAAAATGAATTTTTCTGATTCTATAGGTGAACTTTAAAAAGCTTGATCTATAGTTCCTAAAGCAGTTAGGGTTTCTTGGTGCACGTTATATCATTGGTTTTCCATTCGCCGGCTGACTGAGTGGTCCTGCCAGCACACATCCTGCACACGGCTTCTTAGCACTTCAAGATGCTGCATGCAAGTGCCCCAGGCATAAAGAGTATGGCGGAAATACCTTTTCCTCCGTCTGTGTTTGTAAGACAGTCTCTTTCACGCCAGAAGAACAATTTTGGGGAGATGATTTGTGTCACATTTTGGCCTCATTACAGTTTTGAGTTGTAAATGGCGCTGGTTTGCCTGGAGGTGTAAACATCTATTTTATCTTCATGTGCTCATGGGAATACCTGAAACTGAAAAAATACTTTCTGTTCTTGAGTTCTGTTTCAGGCTGTAAACAGAGAGGTTAACAAGATATTTATCAAAATTCAAATTTTATTTTATTAAAAGCATGCGTCCAACAGAATGCCAATTACTTGCTGCTATGCCTCGGTTCTTCATTTCCAAACACAGATGGAGAAGTCGAAGAACCTCATGTCTTATTACAATCATATGATTCTGTAAGATAAATAAACACTGTGCTTTTCTCTTCTGAAATGGTGAGGAGAGTGCGAGCAGGTGTTAAATTACTGTCTGCAGTTATAAGTTACAGGAAGTATAAGGTTATTCAGTGTTTATTTAGGTGCAGCTGATAAAGTCAGGCGAAGGGATTCTGACTAGTCCAAATTTGCTTTCTGGTAAATAGGTACTATTTAAAGGATATGACAAATCACTTATTCTTTGGTTAAAATGCACGAAAGCAACAGAAATGAGAAGCGTGTATCACCTGAGTTTATCATGCCTTGCACACAGGGGTATCTTAACAGTGTTTATTGATTTGTCCCCAAATAACTGAGTTTCAACCGGGGGAAACATGTGTTTGGAGTGCAGCTAGATTTTTCTATGACTTTCAAGGAATTTCCTATTCTACCTCAAAATTTACAAATTGGCGATATGTTATTTATTTTAAAAATAAATAACAATTAATAATTTAATTAAATAAATTAAAATTTATTTAATAAATTAAATAAATTTCAATCACAGCAGTGAAAGCCATATAAACAAATGACAGTGCATCTGTTGTTGTCATTTTTCCTATAAGCCCATTTTGATGGCCGCATTTTTTTGGACAGAATGACAACCTTTCTGATCTACTGACAGTAACCCTTTGGACATGTGCTTTACAATTTTTTCAAATTCAGCTGTGTGTTAGTGCTTTCCATTTGAACTGTCTCACTCATGCCATTTAAGGAGATTTATTAACCTTTAAGTAATATTCCTCATTTAACAATAAACCAAACACATTGTGAGGTCTTCTTTGATTCTCAAGTGGTGATTTGAAAATATTAGTGCTTTGAGGGTGCTGAACCCAGCTTCATGGCAAAACTGGCCTCGAGTTCCCTCAGCCCGTTAGCATCTTCTAGCTGGGATGAGGGACATCTACTTCTTTCTCTTTTCTTATCTTGAGACTACCTGTTAGCCTCTCTTGGTTATCCAGTGACTGCCTTAATAACTAGCCCCGGTCTGTACTTTCAGAAGTAACCAAAGAAGTTCTGATGTTCTAAGAGGACAACAGGGAACAGTTAAATAAAGGACATGGTTTGAAACCCAAATGTCAACATAGACAGGATCTCTAAAGTTCTCTGTTTTTGGAAGTTGTTAACTGGATTTAACTGTGACATATGCATGGTATGACTGAAATTAGACAACTACTGAAACAAATGACACGATGTTATATTTCACATTTCCCCTTCTGTCTTCTCAGCCATCATGTATGTCATGGGAGCACTTGGTCCTGCAGTGGGATATTTATTAGGTGGACTTCTTATTGGTTTTTACGTTGATCCCAGAAGTCCCATTCACCTTAATCAGGATGACCCTCGTTTCATTGGAAACTGGTAAGAATCGTTTATTAAATCTTTCATTTCACTTGGTATTGTTATAGAGTAATAGTCCCCTTGTAGTTAAAATAAGAATTTCCCCAATGGGAAGATGAAAAATAGCTAAACGTCATCTAGGAGGGGTTGGCAGGCAGGATAATAATCTCCAAAGATATCCTTGTCCTAATTCCCAGAACCTATGAATGTGTTACCTTCACATGGCAGAAGGGATTTTGCTGATGTGAATAAGTTTAGGCTCTTGGGATGGGGAGATTATCCTGGATGATCTGAGTGGGTCCAGTGTAATTACAAGGGTCCTTATAAGGGAAAGAGAGAGGCAGGAGGGTCAGAGTAAGAGAGGGAGATTTGATGATTGGAGCAGAGGTTGGAGTGATGTGCCTCAAAGATGGAGGAAGAGACCATGAGCTAAGGAATGCAGGTGGATTGCAGAAGCTTTTCCCCCAGAGCCTCCAGAAGGAATGCAGTCCTGCCGACCCAGTTTTTACTTCTGACCTCCAGAACTCTAAGATGATACATTTGTGTTGTCTTAAGCCGTGCCGCCTGTGGTGATCTGTTATCACGGCAATAGGAAACTAACACAGAGGAGTTGGGAACATCCGTTTAATCCATATTCTTTAGGTTTGGGATGGCTGGTTTCTTCATAGCAGAGTGAAGGAAAAGGGGAACGCGGCTACGTCGGAACTTTCCTGTGTACTTTAATCGTAGCTTTCATTTTCAAAATCGTAGCTTTTCATTTTTCATTTCATTTTCTTTTCATTTTCTTTCTTTCATTTAAAAAAATATTTTCTGCCACTTCCTTATTATATTTGTGTTTCTGCTTTGTCCTTCTCCACTGCCCAGGACTCTAGCCCTGCGTTTCCACTGTCCCACACTTAGTGAATCTTTTCACTCGGTAATAGTTCCTTCCCCTGGGTGTGCTGGGGATGTAGCCACTCTCTCACTTGCTAGCCTTGAATTGTCTTGCTAAATAAGTAAGCTTAGGATTTAGAATGAGAACTCCAACTCTGGATGACAGGTTACTTATCCCTATCTCCAAGGGCTGCATTTGAATTCTTCCCAATTCTCATCTTGAACATAAGGAGTTATTTCTTCATGATTGCAAACACTCGCTCAAAGTATCGGCATCTCAAATTCATTAAACATGGATTGGTAATAGGCATACATTGATAAGAAATTTTCATTTTAGAACAGAGAATTTCATTAATTAGAAACTAGTGTCAAGTAATTACTTTCTAAAGAGTTTCTTAGACTACTTGTGTTCTCTGTGTGTTTCATTATAATTTAATAACCTCATAACTTGAGCTGTGTGAGAATAATGTTTAACACTATTTTCTAAGCAGTTAATAAATATTAATTACATGATAGAACACTTGTTATTTTTATAAGTAAATACTCTTTGAAGGTGGAAGTGCTAAGATCTAGATGAGCCTAGCCTGGTAGAATTTTCAAATCATGCAAAAGGGAGCGTTCCCTTGTCAGCAGTAGGGGCATGACACAGGAGTTTTAAGTTCTTGATCAATAGTGAAATTTTTGGCCTCTACTGTTTGCTTTGCAGTTCTGAAATAATTCAGAGTAAAGATTTTTTAAAAAGTTCTCAGAAAACTAGATTATTAAAATGTATCTGTGAACATCCCATGTATAATGTGTTCTGTATAGATTTCCATGAGAAGAGCATGGCAATAAGGGAACGTCTGGAAGGAGAAGGCAAGGAGGACAGCTCAGGGGCAAGGAGAAGGCAAGGAAGCAGGAGCTTTAAGATTACAAGTGCTTTATGCTGTTTTCTAAAAGTTTTCTAGTAGACATCAACCCAGTTGGTAGCAAAGTAGAACAATTGAGTGCAGACCCTGAAGCCACACTCCCCTAGTTTTAAATCCCAGTCTGCCACCTAGTAACTGTGTGACCTTGGGGAAGTTACTTAACTTCCCTGGGCCTCGGGGGGTTTTTTAAATCCATAAAATGGAAATAGTGGCAGTACCTACTTGATAGGGTTGTTGTGAGGAATAAATGAGTCTATGTATGTGGAGCTCTAAGCAGTTCTTCCTACATAATGTATGTTACCTATTATTCAGTCCTTTCAATTTAATCAATGTTCAAGTAGTTTTATTCCTTTTAATGGCTCAGTATTCTACAAATGATAAAAGTTGTCAGGATAGAAATGTATACTAGGGAGTCTCTTTGAAAATGAATTTTGTTTATTGAGTAGCTCTGTCTGTAACAGACTTCTACCTTGAACAAAGACAGTTATTTGATACAGTGTTAGTTTCTATGGTGCCTAGTGGCAATGCTAGGTTTTTTGGGAAATGTATGCTGGAAGAGCGAAGGAAGGAATGAGTGAATAATGCTAATATTGATTGGGTGCTGTGTGTCAAGCATTATTCTAAGAGCTTTACCAACATTTTCATTGAAGCCTTATAACAACCACATGTAGTCACTAAGAGTGTGCCCATTTTGCAGATGAGATATTGATGGTCAGCGACTTGAACACCTTGGCCAAAGTCTCAGAGTCAGTGGGAGCTGGACAAGACATTGAGTCCAGGGTGGAGGTTTTAGTCAATGTACTTAACTGTCCTCCCTTCGTGAATAGTCTCTGAGTAATGGTTCATGAAAGGGAGTCAGGAGCCCTGGCTTTTCAATTTTAGCTCTTCCTGATGCATCCTTTTCCAACATGTAATGCACACTTCCTTGCCTTACTTAGCTTTTCTCAACGTCCTCTTTAGCACCACCATTATATCATGTGTTAACTTCGATGTTACTGGAGACCGATTTGCTCTGCTTAGAAATGTCCCTAAACATTTTTTAAATCTTTTTGTCTATTCACTATAATTCTTTCCCTTCTTCTGTTATTTTCTCCCTTTGGGGTACTCTGAGTGTATCTTTAATGTTTGCATATAATTTTAAGTCAATGGCTCTGGGTGGAGGTGGGAGCCCTGAGTGCAGATCTACGGAAAAAACAAAACTAGCTACCATGGATTTATTGTTGCTTTGGGGGCAGGCATTTTATTAGGTCTTATACATTGTCTTATTAATTTTGATGACCCCCCCAAAAAAAGTTATTATTACTTCCCTTTCAGACGAGAAAGTCTGTTCGGAAAAGCAAACTAATTTCCCCAGGATCTTAGAGCTAGTAAGTGGGAAAGACAGGATAAAAACCCAGGTCAGTCTGAAGCCACAACTCAAGAATTGCCCCTTATAGTCTGCTGCCTGCCCTCCTCTGGAGAGAGCATGAGAGGTCCGGGAAACTAAGGGGTTCAGGGGACTTGAATGCAGAGGTTGCAGAAAGAAATTCAAGAAAGATAATGGCAGGACTGGGTTAGTAAAGTCCTCGTATGCGGCCAAGTACAAAAAGGGCCAGATATTATCATAGCTATGTCCCTGCCGACAGATGGCTCTGTTTTTAAAACACCTATCTCATTCAATTTATTAATTTAGGAAATGTTTTGAGTACCTAACCTGTGTTAGGCACTGGGTTCGTGATTAAATACTGAATCCTTGAGATGGCTGGAAGTCTGCCCTGAGCAGTCTTCTAAAAATAAAACCTTTTTCTGATTGCTTTAATATCTTAATTGGATATAACGTTAAGTATCTTTGAAAATAGCACACTGGATGGTCTGTGTTCTTACTGCATTATATTCAACATGAATTCTTAGAATGCTGTTTGCGTTCTGATAACAATGGATGGGAACGTATTGATACAGAGGCCAGAATCTGAGCGTTTATGAACTTGGAAACTTTGAGGACAGAGTTTGGAGTTGAGGAATCCTAGTTGCAAAGTTAGTGACCCCCCTGTTAGGCAGGACCAGGGACCTCTATTTGCTAAGAAAAGGTTGAAAGGGGACTGAAAAATTGCCCTTGGGGAATTATGCAGGCAAGAAAGCCCAAGGCCTTAACACATGTTCTAATACAGGACTAGAATGAGAGATCTACTCTGTATTTACTTCCTAGTTCCCTCGGCATGGCAACCTCAGAAGAGTCTAAAGACAGAATCTCGATTCTGCATAGCTCAAGTTCCACTTCTCAAGTTCCAGATCAGTGCTACTCAAAGTGTGGTCCCCGCCACTGCTGCCCACCAGCAGTTACTGGTCTGTGGCAGAACATGGGCTGAAATTGAGAGTAAATGTTGAGAAACTTAAAAAAAATTTTGACAGAGGAATTCTGTGTCTGACACATTGATTTCCCTTCTGAATTTTTATAACATTCATCTTCTATACCACATGATCTAACAATTGTGTACATTCTTGCATTTCTTGGAATTGCTTGGAATCATTTCTTTTATCTTTAGCTCGCTTACAAGCAGATTGTAAGTTCTTGAAGTGCTTGCAGAAACATGTTTGAATGCCATCAGCAATTTGAAATACACTTCATACCAGATATTAATGGTTTTCTTCTAAGAAAAAAGTGTCCATATTGGTCCAGAAAGCATGCTATAGACTCTATATTATTCTTCTCTTCAAATTATGGGCTATTGATTTATTATAAGATGCACACTGTCGTAGGACTAACAATGTTAATTAGCAAAACTAACACATATGTGCTCAAAAATACTTGAATTGAATGAAATTCTAGTCAGGCTGCTGAATGTAATAGTCATTATAATACTAGTATAATTACTGGGTAGATTTCTCATTTATACCACAGAAAGGGAGGATTCCGTAGTATATTTTCGTAAGTTGTCTAACTTCTTACTGCTGTACACCCGATGAAGGTAAAAAGTTTTCTCTGGAGAAATTTATCACCACAAACTTCTACTTTGCTAATTTGTTCACACTCATAATACCAAAGCCATAAATGCTATTCACATTTCCCAATTTTTTAGGTGGAGTGGATTCCTCCTTTGTGCCATTGCAATGTTTCTTGTGATATTCCCAATGTTTACTTTTCCAAAAAAGCTTCCTCCTCGACACAAGAAAAAGAGAAAGAAAAAATACTCTGCTGATGTTGCGGGTGACGATGACGTTATGAAGGAGAAAACAAACAATTGTGAAGAAGTGGACAAAAAAGTTTCTTCTATAGGATTTGGAAAGGATGCCAGAGGTAAGGTATATCTTTTGAATAAGTACGTGCATGGCATTTCAGATCAGTGCTACTCAAAGTCTGGTCCCCGGCCACTGCTGCCCACCAGCAGTTACTGGTCTGTGATAGAATATGGGCTGAAATTGAGAGTAAATGTTGAGAAGCTTAAAAAAAATTTTTGACAGAGTAATTATGGGTCTGTCGAATCTAATAACAACAATAATAAATTGGGCTTCAATTTTGTATGTTTTAAATTTTTCATTTTCTAGTAATTCATCTTTAAGGTATCTTGCAAAAGTATCAGTAACAATAGACTAGAAATAATAATTAAAAAATAGTCCTTCGTCACAGGTAGCTTGAGAAGCACTGATTTAGAATCTGAAGGTGAACACTTCATACTGTAATTAGAGACGTCTGATTTTTAAAATAATTATTGCATTATACAATGGATGGTTTGTCTCAGGGAACCGTGGGTTTGATAGTGTGGCCTGATCCTTACATAAATATAAAACTTACCCCTAGGAAAGGATCTTGTTCAGCAGTGGCTCTGTCAAAGCTTGAAAGTGGCTATGGAGAAGGGCAACCAGGGGATGGGTCTCCAAACCCAGCATAAAAACGTCCAGAGGGTTTCAGTGATGTGTACTGGTCTGTTTTTTCATTCTTATCTCTCTTAAAAATAATGACTTTATTAGAGCCAGATTAGGCAATCTCAAATCTAAACAACTTAATCTTAACCAAGCCATTTTTGTTCCATATTCAATACCTCTGTTGAATGGCAATGAATCCCTTTATTCCAAGAAACCTATAACACTACATTCCCATTAGTTCCTGCCTAGTTCTTGAATCCTCTGAATTGATTTTTCTAACTTATGAAGCATAATATTTATCAAGTGCTTACATCAGTTAAGGTTGTTTTAGGGTAAATTTACCCAGGCACATTATCATCTCACTTCGACTATGTACACAGTAAAGACGAAGAGGAACCTTTCAGGCCTAGAAGGAAGTTACTAATATATTATGGAACTGTCCCTGCAGCCTAAGAATGGTTAGATTGGACTATTTTTAAAGACTATATTTGTTCAAAGCAGTGAAGTGACATTTCATTGGAAATGCTTCTTCCCAGTTAAGTTTTAGATTTGCCTTTCCCGCTCCCTCCTCATTATTTTGGGACAATGTGTACTTTTGGAACTGCCAAAATTACCTCTTCTGCTCTCATAACATAAAGGATTCTCTGCATGGTAGCTCTTACCCTGTGGACCAGTCCATCATTTTTCGTGGATGCACGATGGACCATAATACTACCAAGGGAGTGACTTGTTTTTTTTTAAACAACCCAGTTGAGAGCAAAGTTGATGTTAAAAAATTCACAACATAGGAATAGACTAAGAGTTTTACTTTACAGAGAATATAAAGTAGACTCAAGGGGGGAAATAAAGGCTAAGCTAAAATGGTATATTTTATAGCTGAGAGGTAGATGGCTCGAATGTGGAATATATGCTCTGTTGGATAGTAGAGAAAAGGGAGAGCGAAGACCGATATGAAATACCAACAGCGGACACAACCGTTGATGGGAATGAAGTCCTTGGAGGAGCCAGTGTAGACCATGATTTCAGTGCCCCATCTGTACTGTGGGACGTTCCCGTTGTCAAGGTGGAGGACCTCCTGAAGGCCTGTGGGTCTTCTTTTGCCTGAAGGTCTTCTCTGTAGTCTGGGAAAGTGCTTGACTCCTGCACGCTTCAAGTGCCAAAGAATTAACATCCTGGCCTCCCACCCCTAAAGCTGTCTTAACCAATGGCCGATCAACATCCCAGCTCCACCCCCTCATGGGTGAGACCATCCTGAGGTATGTTTCTACATCCTTTGTAAGCCACCCTTCCTTCCTGTGCATCACGTCCACACTCCCATCCAGTGTTTCCTGAATCGCCCAAATCAACTGTTTGGCCTTGAATCCTTAACTCAACTCCTGCTTTTGGGGGAAAGCTCACTTAGGCAGGCAGGTTCAAAAGTGGTAAAAGCCATCATGGGATTTGAAAATTATTTTTCAGAATTGAACCTATGTACTGTTTTATTGGATGTCTTCTTGTACTGCTAAGGATTGTGCTTCTCTATCTTTTCTATGTTCAATTTGATGGTTCAGGATATTTTCTTTTAGAGGAAAGAATAAGAGGAGTCTTTTGACAGTGATGGGTAGTTGGTTTATAAAATCCATTTTCATTCTGGTTTTCTCGTCAGTATTTCTGATACATTCTCAACTTTTTCACTCTATGCCTTAATTATGATGATGGATCTTACTTCAGCAGTGAACCTTCCTGATTAGGACGCAGAGCTGGTTTATTTTATTACTTCTTCTTGCACTGGATTCTCTAATTGTATCTAGACCTGGAACTTCCAGAGACACTTTCTTTTGTTAGAAAGGAATCCTGTTCAAATGGGAATATAAAGTGAAAATGTTTTGCTAAAAATTATTCAAGTGATATTGATGACATTGGAATAATGTTCAAATACAATATTTAAAATTAATTCATATATATCTTGCACATTTTGGTTTCTAATACCTTCACCTATAGGAAATGGCAGTCTAATATTTAATCTGATTTTCAAAAAGATCAGTTAAATCTCTGGGAATCATTCCATCACTGACATAATTTGTATTCCAAAGCTGAGATTCATTATTTAGGTCTTGAATGAAAGAGTGGTTGCTAAGATTTCATTTTGAGTTAAATCTGAGTTTGATTCGCAGATCTTCTTTTTCCTTGTCCTGTTTTTTGGAGTAAGGCTCCTTTTAGTCTTTATTTTATATTTGAAATCTGTACATCAATATTAGCTTCTTCAAAGAGAAGGTAGAAAGGTGGCCAAGTTAGTATTTTTTTAGTTCCTAAAAACAAAAATGATTTAGGCCATACAGAATGGTGCTCCTTGAGAAGTTTTACTGCAGAGAACGCAAGAAGAAAATACACTGCACTTTCTACCCTCTGCCTGCACATTTTAATGATAGACATTGGGAAAATCTGACTCAGTGTTTCTAGATTCTTATTATAAATTATGCAGGAATAAGACTTTTAAAACACCACAAAGGAGAAAGTAGAATTTTTAGTGTGTCTGCATCACCATCCCATAAAGAGAATAGCACTGATTGCTTCAACATCTTACCCATAAAAATAAACAGCTAAAATATTTAAGTGGATCAATTTTCCTGAGGTTTGAGGTCCAGCATTTTAAAAGTCTGCTGACTTTACCTGGACATTTTCCTAAATAGAAAGCTTTTGGTAGCAGTTAATCGTAAGAAGATGTTTATTTTTGTGTCCACTTTTAACCGTTTAAGCTTCATTTCTTGGCATTATTCATTAACATAAAGTACAACAGACTTTCTCTGCTAGACTTTTGTTTGTGTTCAAGTAGAATATATTTATCATCCTAAGTAAAATAGCTACTCTGAGGTGATGCACTGATTTAAAGAGGCTATTGGAAGTTATAGAGGATTGATCACTAGAGGGTGATGTCATCATTTAATTCAATGACTGTTCACTCTGTAGAAGCTGCTGTACTCCAAGCTGTGGCAGATCGGAAGATGAGTGAGCCATGGTTTGCCCTCAGAGAGCTTATAGTCCATTGAGGGAGACAGGACAAGTACAGATGGAAATATGCTAATGGCCAAAAAGGAAGATGGTGTGAGAGTCAGAGGCAGGCGAGGGAACATCTAGTTGAGGGATCAGGAAAGGTTTCACGGAGGAGGTGGGATTTGTGATGGACCTTGGAAGACTGGGAGAATGTCAGTAGGTGGAGGTGGGATGGTGTGGGTATTCCAGTCAGAGAGAGCAAAGGCAAGAAGGTCAGACTGGGGTGATGTATTTGAAAATGCTGAGCGAGTGTATTGTGGTTGGTGTGTTGGATGTGCATGGTGGAAGCCTGGGACGTAAGGTTGGGAGGGTAAGGTGGGACCATATTGTGCATAGAGTTCTAACCTTAACAGAGCTTGGCCCAAATGGGCAGTGGGGAGGTTTGAGCAGCCTTTGGCAAGCACTCTGTTAGGTAGATTAGGGAGGGAAGGGAGTGGAATGGAAGGAGGGCGCCCAGCTAGAAAGCTACCGACAGAGCCCGAGAGAGGTGATGATGGTTTTGCTTAGTGCAGATGGAAAGGACAGTAGCATGCTAAATTGGTTTTTTTTTTGGCCACGCCGGGATGGGATCTTAGCTCCCTGACCAGGATCTAACCCATGCCCCCTGCAGTGGAAACGCAGAGCCCTAACCACTGGACCGCCAGGGAATTCCCTCCTTGTCCCCTTTCAGTTGCTTTCAACTCTCCAGCCAGAAGGATCCTGTTGAAATGCCACTCCTCTGCTTAAAGCTTCTGTGGTCTCCCAGTCTAACCCCTGGTTACCCGCCTGCCCCCATATCCTTCTTGCAATCCCATTTGTTCATTCTACTTCAACCACATTGGGCTCATCACTGGTCCTCAAATCTGCCAGCACACTCTCACCTCAGGGCCTTTGCACTTGCCATTCCCGTGTGGTGAACGCTCTCTCCCACATCCTCTCGCTTCCTTCAGGGTATTTTTCAAATGGTCCCTTTTCAATGAGGCCTTGCTTGGCCACCATATTTAAAAATTGCTACCTTCCTCTCCAAAGCTTTCTCTCCTTTATTTTTCTCCTTAGCACTCATCACTATGTAGTATACTATGTATTTTACTTATCTTATTTATAGTCTCAGTAATGAGAAAGTAAGCTCCATGAAGGCAAGGAATTTTTGTCCGTCATGTTCCCTGATAAATTCCCACCATCTAGTAGATACTCAGTAAATATTTGAAGAATGAATTATTGAATGGTGAGGCGGGAAGGAAGAGGTTGTGTTTATAGAATGTGGCAACTGCTATGGGAATGATGGGGAGGGAGGTACCAAAGTCGGGTTCAGGGTTTCAACCTCAGATGATGGAGAGAGGAATAGAGGGGCAGGGGGAATAAATTCTGAATTTGAGTTGCCTAAGAACAAAGAACCATTGCATGTGGTTCTTTGCTAGGTGTTTT